TGGAGTTATGTATATTCAAGGTTTTTTGTACTTCTCTGGAGCTGAAATTCTTGAACCATATTTATGACAGGTGAATAAAGTTTGAACAATTAAATTTTGCTTCTGTTGATTTAAAATTGCAGGCTGTGAACTGGCAATTAGCTTTGTCATTCTAGTGTCAAATATAGTAGTCTCAGACCTATCTTCAAACTGGGATTGGATTCATGTTTTATTTGTCTGTGACAAATATAAAAGCACATATTTGATTTTTTTTTCTTGCACTGAGGTAAATGCCCATAGTAGAAATAATGCTGAGTGATTTTCTTTGGTGTAGATACACTTCACTGAAAATTTGGAAAGCAGATAAACAAGCAAGATAAATTATATAAATATAAGCATTTAAAATGGAGTTCTGGATACATTCTGCATTGTATTATCATAATTCCTTTATCCAGGTTCACTTACCTTCTTAAAATACTCTGATGACCACCTGTTTCACCTTGCTTCAATTCATTTCCAGACCCTTTTCACCACAGATATTGTCATTCTCACTAGCAGCTACTACATGGGGTTCAGAAGCAAATTCCAAATAGAGACACTTGTAAACTCTTACAGATTTTTGACTAGAGACTTCAAGCCTGTCTCATCATGGAACAGAGTCATATTTGAACAGGGATCTTGAATAAGCAGCAAGAAATGCTCTGGTCTTTACAAAAGTGAAATGATTATATGAAAGACTTCAGCTTCTTGTTTGCCTTTATGACTCCTTTTTCATAGAATTTGCCATTGCTTTTCCAACTGTCTTCTCAGCAGTGCTTCTGTTTTGACATGTTGCAACTGGAGATCATGTCTTGCTCTTTTATTTGTAGTTTTGGGCCATCTGCCCTAAGTTGATATGTAAAACTCCTGCTACCCTAAATTGTCAGATTTAGTAGAATGTACACTTGCATCTTTTAAAACCAATGTTTTTTAAGATTCACTGTGTTCTTTTGGATTCCTACTCCACTGCCTGGATCTACAAACATGACATGTAAAAATTTGCTGGTCTGTCTAAAATAAGGAGTTTTTGTGGGTTGTAGGAGTGTTCAAATAATGTGATGGTGGTGATCAGTAGAAAAGCAGAGAGCCAATTTAAAGGAATAGGTTAATACACTGACCATGGTGTGGTGGGTTCATCTTGTCCAGCCACTAACTCACTCCCCGTCTTCAACAGGACAGGGCAGAAAATCGAATGCCAAGGCCTGGCTGCTGAGGAAAATCATGGGGGCTGGCCACCAGTTACCATTACAGGAAAAAGCAGACTTGGCTTGTGGAAAATTATTTTAATTTCCTGCCAGTTAAAGTAGATCTGTGTAGTGAGAAGCAAAGGCAAATTAAAACAAGAAGTTCCAACATCCTCTCCCCCTTCTTCCCAGGTTCATCTTCCATTCTTCATTCCTGACTCACCTTCCTCGTTCGCCAGCACAAGCGGCACAGCAGGATGGCAATGGGAGGTTGTAGTCAGTCCATAGCACATCCTCTCTGCTCTTCCTTCCTCCACACACTTTTTCTTTCCTGCAGCTTGGCTCCTGCCCATGGGCTGCAGTGCAGAATCTTTATTTATTTGTATGTTTCTGTGCTCTCTGCTTTGGGCCTTATATTTTAATTGCTTTGTAAAAGAACTTGAAATCCGACAATGAATAAGATATTGTATTAGGCCATTTAGCTGCTGGAAGTTGTGCTATTATCATCAAAAATGTAACAATTTGAATATAGCTGAGTTGCCTCTTTTTACCTGTTTTCAGCTATAAAAGCAATAATGCAATAGACTTTCTGCCTAGTTTAATCTACTTTGTGCTTTGTTAATTTAATTTTCTTGCAAATTATAAATGGTAATGTAGCCAAATAATTCTCTAAAGGCCCCTCATCTCATTTTAAAGTAAAATGAAATATTTACCTACCCCAGAAATGTTTTATATGTGAGTATTTAAATATAATTTGTTATTCTTGATGTGGAGTTTTTTTGGTGTGGTTTTTTTGCTGTTAATTTTTTGAGATTTTGTGTGTGTTTATTTGTATGTTTTGTAAAGCAATCAAATCTGGAATTAATTTGGTTTCTTGAACTATGGATTCTTCACCAAAATTTTCACTCCTATGTCAGGCGTGGTGTTTGCTCTTCTGAATTAAAATTTAATTGACCTATTAGCATTAAATCATAGAAGAGGTACTTCCAGGAAGTGGTGTTTGTTGATGAGACTGGTGAACACAAACCTACTACCACCAGCATATTGACTTTTTTGCAAATAAGGGTTATTTTAAAAAGTTCTTCCCTCCTCCAAAAAGAGTTATTCCCAAGTTCTGTTCCAAATAAAAATTGAACATTAATGTCATAAAACTTTTACCATCATCACTGAAGCAGATGGAAATAAGTCTGGTTGGTGGTTTTTTCCCAGATTAAGAGCCGAGTTCCATGACATGCAGGGAAATGTGCTCAGACCAGCCCCAGAATTGCTGCCTGGGGTGCTGGCGGTGGGTCTGCCAACACCAGGCTGCCACTAGGAACTGAGGAAAAAAGGAAATTTCTTTGGTGCTTGTAGCCAGCACTGTCTGCTGAAGCTGTGTGTGACACCACTGCAGCCTGGCTCAGTGTGGAGTGCCAGTTCTCCGAAGAGATGGGACACAGCTGAGTTTGGCCACGGCCTAAGTTACCTGAATTACCAGGGATATAATGGCACAGACTGCACTGACAAATCAGTCTCCACTTTGATCAAGTATTCAGGGCTAAAAAAGACATTCCCTGTCATTGTCCAGCAAATCTCTCACATATCTCCATGAAGCTTTATCTTCTTGGCTCCTGGAACAGAACTGACTAAATCTTAGGTGTGGTCTGATTAATGGTTTTACCATTTGCTTTTGCCCTTCCTGCCTGCAGCTGTGGTTGTCTCTTGCATTATCTATCCCCAGATTATAAAACTTCAGGATTTTACCATCTCTTTGCCTGGCAGGACTTCCCTCTCCAGCTCCCAAAGCTTCATTCTGATCTTTTACTCCCTTTGTTCAGAAATTCTTTCATTGTTATCCCTTTAAAAGTTGACCTTTTTCAGTATTTTGTTTTTAAAGTGTACTCAGTAACTTATCTCAAATGACTGCAAGAAGAGTCTGTTTTGTGGTAATATACAAGGGACAAAGTGGTAGGGACAAAGAATGTCTCTAAACTGTATACTTGGATAAAGTAGCCCTTCTTTGAGTCAGTTTTGTGCATAACATTCCTCCTGGGAAGTTACTTTGGACAAATCAAGAAACTAAGGTTTCTTAAATTTCTGTGAAATTTAAGTGAAAGATGGGAATATAACTGCCTGGTAGACAAAACTAAAAATAAAATCAGTAATAACAGTAGTTTGACAATTAAATAAAATTATATAAAAAAAATCTAATTCTTAAAAGAATTTGTGAGGTGCCAGAACTGAGGTTGTCTATTATAACTCTGCTACCAAATTAATACAATCTCTCTAATTCCAGATATCTTTAAATAATTTTGGCTTTACGTACACATAGATTCCTTACTGCTTTTCAGAGCATTTATTTATTGATGGGGGCTGTGTAAAGGCAAGAAAATTAGATTATCTGTTATGTTAAACACATTTCCATATTGCTGATATGTTTCATTATACTGCTTAAGCTCCCAGTAGGCACTTTAATTTTGTGTGTATTTTTAAGAAACATTCTTTTCAAGCAAAAGTTTGGAAAAGTAGCAGTTTTTTAATTCTGTCAGTCTAGACTATTCAGTATGACCTAAGGAGAAGTGTTTTTTGGAAACTGAACTTTATGCTTAGCCTTTCCTATTGTATTTTTTCCTTTCAGCAAAGAAAGGATGCACAAAGATAGTTTTTGTGGGTTTAGGAAACAGATGATAGCATGCAAAGCCCCATGTTTATATGCACTGTGGTGTTTTGACCTTTATTTAATGGTATTTTTTGAAAACTTCAGAGCAGGTCAGTGAAGAGTGTACTCAGTGTTTGAGGTCAGCAAGTGAAAACAGACAAGGGTCATCTGCCCCTTATTGTGTGTGTGAGGGGTGAGGGTTTGTATCTGTTTATTCAAAACTTTTTTAGCTGGTCTTCAAAGGATCTAAAAGAAAAAAAAAAAAGAGGCAGCATTATCTAATCAAAGCTGCTCAGTCAACTAATGACGTCAGGTAGTAACCTTAACCTTCACTTTCTCACCATATTTCCTATGGACTATAAGCTATTTTATACAGCTAAAAATTACCTCATCCATCATAGCAATGTAGCCTTTTTCTGTGTTTCACTATGTAGTGGGTTTATCAGCACTGGGCATGGGAATGAGGTGAAGAATAATTTCTTCTTTAATTGAATTTGCAGATTGGAATGCTGGTGGGAGAGGGGCAGCAATGGGCTGTGCTGGCACCAGGTCAGTACCCCAGGCTGTCAGCTCCCTGGGAACAGAGGGCTTTAATCACTGCACAGATGGGTGCAGGGTGTGGAGTAAATGCATTCAGTACTGCAGTTGTGTCTAACATGCATTTTGAGCTAGAGCAGGAATTTAGAATAGAAACATGACCCGCGTGTGGTCGCGCTCCGTGCTGACTTGGCTGCTGTGTCTGAGAAAGATGATTGCATTGTGTGATGAGAGTGGATGTCAGGTGTTATCATGGGGAAATAAAAGCACTTATTACCTTGTGGTGTGATTTGTTCATATGACCTTGCTGTTGGAAAGAATAATTTTACCCTCTGGTATCATTTACAACAGCATGTCACTTATTCCTTCTGTTTCCAGTAAAAGTAATGAGGCTACATAGGATGCTCAGAAGTGACCTGATGTGCACATAATTAGAGCAGGTGTCATTCTCAGCTCAGTTCTCAATATTGTATTGTGCTTTGCTTTTGTGAAAGGGAAGCTGGTAATTGTCAAATACATAAAAATTAGCAGTTAAATTGCAGTTGGCAAGTCCTTGCAGTAGCAACATCTTTTTTTGTTGTTTTTCTTGTTGCTTATGGCAGTCTAGAATTTGAGAATCATAGATTTGTTTTTTCCTCGGAATATGGCGGCATGGGTTTGGACTTCTCCTATAATATTGCAGTGGCAGAAGAGCTGGGAAATATCCGTTGTGGAGGTATTCCCATGGCTATTGGAGTGCAAGCTGGCATGGCTACCCCTGCTCTTACAAGGTAATTTTCAGAAAGTTTGGTTTAGGCTAAAACCCAATTGTCATCAGTAGAAAAAAACAATACTGTGTAAATTTACTGTCTAGTGGCTACTCCGTAATGCCTGAGAAAAGAACCAACTCTTTACTTCTCTCAGTTTGCTTTAGAGGAGAAAATACTTCCACTTTTTTTTTTTTTTTAATGCTAGAATTATATTAATTATATGTTAAAACATAAACCTCATTGAGTAGTAAATGATATGTTTACAAACACAAAATCTTGGTACCAAAACCAATTTTAAAAAAGCAATTCCAGAATCCAATTTTTTCATGTCTGTCTTTTTTTCTTATATCCCAGTGCAGTAATACTAAAGATGCATTTAGTTGCAATGATTAGTATCAGTCTAATTCTGCTTTATAATTGCTCTTTTTCCAGCTTTGCAATGTGTCAGTCCTAAAGCTGTAGCACAAATATCATGCTTCCTAAATATGCCCATTCTAGGCAATTAATCATTTTTGTTTTTTTCATCAGCTACGTCAGTGTTTCCATTTGAATCGCTTACTATCATTCAGGCTCCTACATTTTCTTAATCTGATTTGTTGTGGTTTTTTCCTCCCTCAATAAAAGTGACAGTTACCAACTTCTTAATGTAGGAGTTTTGCAGACACACTCTATCGTAACAGCAGTTCAAAACTAGAGTGGGGCAACTGGGTGATCCAGCAGTCTGCCCCTGGAATATGGATACACCTAAAATTCTGGAAGCTGAGGGTGGGAATTAATTTCTAATAATTATGTTGAAATAGGGAATTTCTCTGCACTAAACAGATATACAAGAAGGGAAGTTTTACTCAGAAGAACATTTTAGGGTTTTTTTGCTAACAAAAAAAATTGTTGACTTTTTTCCCCCATTCTGAATGAAAACCCCTGTAAATCTACTGTAGAGTCTGGAATATAAGCTTCATTCTCTTGGGATCTGCTTATCCTGCTGTATGTGTGACTTTGGAGGTCTCACCTACAACAAATTTTTCTTAAAAAATTTTCTTAAAGTTTTCTTCTCCTTTGTGTAATGCACCAAAAGCTTGCTAAATGCATGGAGTTCAATATGTCTCTTGCAACAGTGGCTTAACTATAGTCCCACTGAGAATAAGTATTTTAAAAGACTTCAGACAGTACTACCTTGCCCTCATGACAGCCCTTTATTCAGGGGTTTAAAGAAAATCTGTGGGTAAAAGAAAATGGGATTTTGTTCCATCGCAGTTTTTTGGCCTTCTGTTACTCTGTTCTGCTGTAGTAGAACAGTGAAGTTATGCATATTTGTGCTAATGAAATCCTAAACTGGAAGTTCTTGGAAAAGAAGAGTGAAATTGTTGTTAACTTGATGAAATCTTTAATTGAATTTGTATCTGCATGATTGAATTTTTCGTCCACTGCAGAGCCAATTCCATGGGCTCCTTATGCAGTACAATTCCCCCCACACACATATAAAAGTGAAACTTGGTAATGAAAAGAGAAAGCTACAGGAAATTTTGCCTGTGTGCATCTTTACCTCATGCTGTGTAGTGGGAAGATCCCACCACTCCCAGGATTGCTTGTCCTGGGTCATGGATTTAAATGGCACCCATGTCCTGGATTGTTTCTTTAATAGTATCTGTGTACTGTGGGGATTCTAAACACGTTGTAGAGATAAGTCAGATTTTGCATCTTGATTATTCATTGTTACACAAATCAAACAATAATGTGGGAATCAACCATCAACCCATAAAAAAGCCTCTGTAGCTCTTTGGTGGCTTTCATAACTTTGAGCTTTGTTCAACATTCATCCAGCATATGTTGAGTGTACCTACAAACTAACTCCATGAATGTGATTCCTGTAATTCCCAGAGTCCCCTAAGTGAAGCAATAAGACTTTCTAAATTTAAGAACTAAATAGAAAATGCTTTGCCCGCAGTGATCTGACCTTTGATGGTTTGGAACATAACCTTCTTCCAGGTCTTTCAAATGCATTCAGATATAATACTGCCCTTGCTTGCTTACAAATAGAGTGGAGAAAGCAGCTCCTAGCTGAGGCAGTGAATTATATGCATTTCCCAGAGCTTATAGACATACCTGAAGTGTGTCACATCTGTAGTGATACCAGATCAGTTTAGAGCTGCTTATCTCAGCAGTAGGCAGTGAACTTTTTTTTCCACCCCCTGTTTTATATAGGCAAATAGTAAGGACAATGATGATTATTTAGTGGGAAGAGAATGCTTTTCTATTTCATCACTGATTCTTTCTCCACCCTTGTTAGCAGGATAGCTGGGAATTAATATAAAAAAAGTTGGCTTTACTATCTGATTTATTGTTTGCTGTAAAGAAGAGAAGCTGCAGCTGACAATTAGAAAATATAAACAGAACTGCGTGGATCACAGAAGTGTTACATCTGTATTTTGCCATGGTTTTACTTTCCTTTTACCCTCTAATTACAAGATTGTATACCACTGGAATTTCTGTCTTTGTTTTCATGACATTCCACCAATATTAGTTTCAAAGTATGGAGCAAGAAAAGATGAATAAGCACTTTCACGCAAGTCAATGTGTCAGAATCTCACAGTTGTGTGAGATTTTATGTTGCATAGGATCAACAAGATTCATTGACTGTAGACTTGTGTGTATGTGTGGATACTCAAATGCATAGAAATATATTTTATGGTGATGCTAAGGCTGCTCAGGTAATCACATGGGAAACTATCCTCTGGGGTATGGACCCAACCAGAAGGCAGACATGGTCGGGTCTGTCTTGAGTCCAGAGCATGATCTCCTTGAAAACAGAGTTTTCTAGTTCTGGAGCTGTTAAATTGGGAAGAAGTGGGTATTACATTTGTGCAAACCTGAGATTTTTCTAGGATGCATTTAAGATGGGTAAAATTTTACAAAAATGACATATTTTTAACACAAAAGCTAGCAGCTTAGCAAGAAGCAAGCTGTCTCCTGCAAGGCATGGAGACCCGCCATCTTCTGAAGATAGTGTTGCCCAACCAATTTTTTTTTTTTTTTTAATTGCAAAATAACATTTTCTATAACCACATTTTTGGAAAGAACTGAACTGTTTTCTGGAACTCAAAACAAAGAAAGACATCAAACCAAAAATATTATTCTAAGCAAAGTTTTTGCAATGAAAATCCTCTGTTGAAATGCTAAAGGTTAGCAAAGTTTCAAACATTAGAAAGCATTGCCAAAAATCACAACTATCATAATCTGATTGTCCATTTTGTTGGTTGGGCTGTTTGGGTTTTTTTTTTGATTGATGAATGTGCAGCTAGCCATACTTGATCATGCCCCATGAAAATTAAAAAATAAAGTATGCTGTCTAACAGACATGGGAACTTTGTTCCAGTATGCTAGAGGAAGGAGTAGGCCTTCCAAACTTGCTACTTGTAGTTATTTGGAATTGCTGCTGTGATTTTCAGCAGGGACAGGACCAGGAATTGAGCTCCTTGTGTGTACCAAGTGGAAGTGTCTGCCAGATCCCAGTCTGTTCTCTGCCTGTCCAGGGCTGGTTGGAGGGGATGACTTAGTCTTAGTTTGAATGGCACCACTCTTTTGGAAGTACTGGGACAAT